TCTATCCCACTTAACTAGTTTGCATGGCCTTCACCTATCTATTATACATGTGTTTCACATATTTTCCCTTTTTAATTTTTTGTTTTCCAAAACAAATTTTAGGATAAATAACAAATGTTACATTCCTGTTTTTTATTTTACCTTGCAAAAAATCATTTTATTTTATTTTGAAAAAATTGAAAAGATAAAAAAGAATGGAATTTTTATAAGAATTTTCTTTTTTCGAAATTTAATGCAAAAATATCTTAAAAAGAAAAATGATGAACCTAATTTACTAAAATAAGCAAAAATAAACACTAACTATCATTTTGCAAACTTAATCAACTAAAATAAAGTAAAAATAAAAACAAGAATAAATAATAAAAAAATAAAGCTAAAATTGATTTAAATAAAATTAAAATTTTTGTATCTACAAGAGGCCTATTTATTGGTGAAATTTGCTTCTAACAATCTTCCTTAAAGTTGTACAAATTGACCATTGAGATTCCCAAGATTGTTTCTAAAGGTTTCCATGTTTCCTTTTGCAGAATGCAATTGAAATTTGTTTAGAAAAACAGTCAAAAAGTTGTGTGAATAAATTACATTTGTAACTTGCACAGCCACAATAAGGATCCGTGGACCTCACCTATGGATCTGGTTCGCAGATCAGCTCGCATGCATTTTCTTTGTCTTTTCTAGATCTATGGGGTGATACGTGGATGGCCTTATGGACCTAGCTCGCGAATCCACTCAGAAACCTTGATTTCTTCACTTTTTCATTTCTGAATCATCTTCGAATCGTTGCCAACATATCATTTTAATTTCACTCTGTTTGAATCAATCATCCAAATGCTAAAACCTATAAACACATTTTGCACATTAATCTACTCAAATGCAAGTTTTGGTGAAAAACTATAACTTGTAGAAATAGTTGATAGAAGGAGCTAAATTTTATCTTTAAACCCTAAAAACACACTAAAATCTAAGAAATAAAATACACTAAAAATATACAAAATAATCACTTATCAAACTTCCTCACACTCAAACTATTACTCATCCTTAAGTAACAGGAAATATAAACCATAACAATGATTCAAGAATTGAAATAAAACATGTGCAACCTTGAAATTCAATTTCTCAAAACCAATTAAATATCCATTATGCGATCATTCATTTTATCTCAAGTACTGATAATATCAAATAAAGGTGAGATAATTATATCATAAATTCAACTAGTTTAACTCAATTTCTCAACCAACCTAATTTCACAAGCAAGCGATTAAAATAGTCAATACTTACTTTTCTCAACCTATGATCACCTTCTTTACAAACTCAAAATAGGGATTTATTCATATATCACAAATACTTACTTGAGTTGTGAAACATGACGGTTAGTGTCGAGATATGGATTGTAGGATCGCTACGATCCATATCGTGCTTAGGATCGTAATTCTAAAGAAATGTAGTGGGTTCTTTAGATTCAGGATACGAATTGTAGGATCTTATGTTCCTACAATATTGTATCGATCCTACTAATTTATATGAATATAGGACTTTTATTACTCTCCTCTCATTTTTCATTCTTTATTGATTCACTATTATGTTATTTGGCCCAATAAAAAAGCTAGTCTTGGGGTTCATAAAGGGCCCTAATCCTATTAATTAAAACAAACGGTAAATTTTTCATATGCCTTATCAGTTATTGGGAGATTTAGGACTTTTAAGTCTCTTACTTTCTTAGCAGCAAAGAGATCGAGTAAGAAACTAAACCCTAAAGTCACAAAAAAAAAATCATTGGTTTATCATAATATTACTCTTCAAAGTTTGAAAAATCGAGGTTGGGAATTTCGGAAAGGGAAATTAGGGCAAAAGAAAAAGTTTCAACTTCTCATATTTTATTTTCATTTTTTATATTAGTTTGTTCTCAAATTAAATGAAAATTTTTCTCAAAACTCCACTTGGCCAGTCATTAAGAGCAGTAAATTGAGCAAAAATCTTGAACAAATTGAGCAGCAAGGGCTTTAAGAAGAAGGCTGGAAGATTAGGGTCCGTTTGGATTCTTTGTTTTTGTCACTGTTTTTGAAAAACTGTTTTTCACATTCCAAATGCTACAGTAAATGTGTATTTCTAAAACAACTCAAAAAACACCATATCCAAATATTATATCAAAAACAACTCCATATGTATATTTCATTTTGTATATTTTAATTATGTATATTATATATATAATATTAATATAAATTGAAATATACAAATTAAAAATTATATATTTATATATTATATAAATATTTATATACATTAATATTATACATAATATAATATAATATACATAATATGTAATATTGTATACATAAATGTATAAATATCATAATATAATATAATATACATAATATGTAATATTGTATACATAAATGTATAAATATTTATACATAATATATTATGTACATTATATTATAATATATACATTATTAATGTATAAAATTATTATGTACATCATTGTGTATAATAATGTTATGTATAATATATAATACACAAAATATGTAATAATGTAATAATGTATATGACGTATAATATATTATATTATATATATACAATATTATGTATATTATACAAATTGAAAATTATATATTATATATTCATAAATTATATATTATATAAATATTTATGTAATGAAATATAAAATAAATATTACAAATTGAAATATTATATAAACACCATATTTATAATATTATAATATTTATAATTAATATTAATGTATATTATATATATTAAATATTTATATATTTATTTATACATATTATAAATATTTTATTTTATTTAAAAAATATTGTTATATATTTATAATATATATTATATATTATGTAAATTATATATAATATAATATAATATATAAGATATAATATATATTATACATTTATATAAATGTACATTTATACATAATATATATATTAATTTATATTTATAATATGCATTTATATTATGTATTTTATATAATATAATACATTTATACATTTATATTAATATACATAATATTAACTTTACATTTATACATAATATTAATACCTTTATACATTTATATTAATTATATTAATACATTTATACATAATATTAATATATATTGATAATATATTAATTTATACATTTATATAATATTCATTTATAATTTATACATTTATAATAATATACACTTATACATTTATAAATATATTTATATTATGTATTATATATAATATAATACATTTATAATGCATTTATATATTTTTATATAAATATTGAAATATATTTATTTATAAATATTTATAAATGTATTATAATGCATAAATTTATATTTATATAAAAATATAAAAATTATAAATTATAAATTATACATTTATATAATATTCATTTATAATTTATACATTTATAATAATATAAATTTATAAATATATTTATATTATGTATTATATATAATATAATACATTTATATATTTTTATATAAATATATAAATATAAATATTTATAAATATATTATAAATGCATAAATGTATATAAATATAAAAATATAAAAATTATACATTATAAAAATACTCAAAAATATAACATACGATTTGAGAAGCAAGCTTGATATAGCAGTTGGCATAGCTTCCAATTTGTCTTTTGGTATGGGATTTTTAAGGCAATGATTCTGATTTTCTAAAGTAAGGCATTACAATTTATATAATTGATGCACTTTCATTCTTATTGGTGGACCATTTCTTGGTATAGTTTTTGGTGTGATTCATGTTTGGTTTATCAAATTTCAGAATAATTAAACGACTTTTTCTTTCATATGCATGTGATCAATTGAATATTTTCTGAACTTAATTTGACTAGTGGTAGTTGTAAAGGAAAAAAAAAAAGGAAAGGCCTCAATTGAATGTTGTCTGGACATAATTGTAACTTTGCGTGATTACATAAAACCCATTAAAGAATACTAGCATTTGACATGTAGAAACTAAATTTTCAGCTTATGTTGGACAAGGATGTTTCTTTCTAATATATATTTATTCTTTAATTCCCTATCCTATGTCTCAAGAAAATGCCTGCATAATTACGAGATACTTTGATAGTGACTTGTTGTGAAATGCATATTATAATTTTAACATTATTTAGTAAATATAGTAGTATAAATTAGTGATGGATTCTTTTTACCTTTATAGGGAGCTACTTTTTTGTTACTTAGATGTTTAACTATTGTTTAATAGTAATTAAATGTCTACTTCTGCACTGAAGAAAGGAACTTGAAAAAATGCAACGTGTTCTGGATTAGATCTTGGGTGGGAGCATGGAGTTGAAATTGATAATTTAAGAAGAAAGGTCATGTGCAAATACTGTGGAGTTACTCATACATGTAGAGTGTCTAAATTTAAACATCACTTAGCTTGGACACACTTAAATACTGAACCATGTCCTAAAGTTCCTGAGTGTTAGGAAACAAATGTATGACTTGTTTAGTGCAAATTCTAAGGAAGAGAGAGAAAAAAGGAAACAAAGATATGGCCGTGTATATGATGAACAAGATGAAGAAGAAATTGAATAGAGGGATAGAAAACATCCAATAGATGAGCAAAGAGATAGAAAAGGTTCCATGGATCATTTGTTGTGAAAAAACCTAGGGGTTTAATTTAAGACAAACAACTATTAATGAGAAATGGAAGAAACAAGAAAGAGATGAAGTTTGTCAAATCATGATTAGGTGATTCTATACAAGTGCCAGTCCATTTAATGTTGTAAACAACCCATTATTTCCTCTAACAATTAAGAAAATTGGTAAATATGGCAAAGCGCTTAAGCCACCTACATTTCATCGAGTAAGAGTCACTTTTTTAAAAAGAAAGTTCAAGAAACATTGAATTTACTTAAAACATACAAATAAGGATGGAAAAGAACAGGTTGCACTCTTATATCGGATGGGTGGTTGGATCAAAGATATAAAACAATGAATAATTTTCTTCTGAATAGTTTAGCTAGAACTATTTTCTTACCTATAATAGGTCAATTATTTTTTAATTTAATAGGGATGCCATCCCTTAATTTATTTATAACCAAAAAAATACACCGATTTAGAGGGGGGCCAAACCTAACCTCTGTTAAAGGAAAAGAAACATGTAATGATAAAAAAAAAATAAAACTCACATATGAAGGAATTCTAAAGACATAACAGATCAATCAAAAGAAATCATCCACATGAGGGTGCCCCACATTTGTGTGACTGCGAGTGAGCATGGGAATTTGGTTTAACATCTTGACATGTTTGCATTGTTTTACCTTTTTTTGAAAGCTGTTTTCTCGATTTCTTTGAAATCACTCGGGTAAATTGCTCTTGAACTAGGTTCTGGTCTTGATCTTTGTCTTTTTGGCATTGTGAATCATCTTCATCTTCTTCATTTTTGTCGTCATTGCATGTTGTACTTGAACGAATAAAAAGCATTTGATGTGGTCGGGGAACCGTACCATGTAATTTCTCCCATTTAATCTCTTCGAACACATCTTTAAATTGTGGCACTGGATTTTGAGGCAAAGAGGATTTCGTTTCTGTTCTTGTACTTGTACCCACAAGGGTTGGGTCTCCACCTGACACTATATCACGTGGGTCATGAACTTGGTCTATCTTCGAGAACGAACCGTTTACCACAGCAGACGTAATTCCATTAACTTTCTGTGAGTAGTCACTAGCCTCTATCGCCTTATCTTCCGATGCAGCCTCTGTGAATGTGCCATTAGCTGGATGAATGGAATGGTCATCGTCAGACCCCGGATCAGTGAATTTTCACTCCTCGAGTGGATTCGAAGTCGAAATCTGCAATCCAGCATCTGCTCCATCCTCCGGCACCATAGCCACAGATGAATTAGGTGGAGGAGGCAGCGCCTCATCCACTGCCTGCGTTTCCACAGCCGCAGGTTCCGGGATATTGCCCAGATTAGCAACTTCCTTTCCTGTGCTCCGTGCGTGATCCATGGCAACAACCGGCTGCACGGGCGTGCCACCCTCTGCCATCAAATTTTGTGCCGTCTCCTTGTCTTGAACCTCAACCCACTGTTTGGTACCAAAACCCACTCTAGGAGGATGCCCAGGTTCTTGCATCTCTCCTCCTGTCTCCTTTGTCCGCAATGACGGATTCAGTACATGGCATTCATCCACCATGTGTCCCTGGCGATAGCAATGAGAGCAGTATCTAGGGATGTTCTCTGGTACAAGCTCCTGCCAAAAGCCTTCGTGCGCACCATTTCCAATCCAGATTCTCGAAGGCCACGGCTTCAATAAGTCAACTTCAACACAGACCCTTGCAACGCTTGGTCTAGAAACGGCCACAGTCGCTGCATCGATCAGCAATGGAATGCCGAGCACTCCCACAACTTGAAACAGTGCCTCCTTGTGGAACAAATGTAATGGAAGTTTAGGCAGTTGAAACCACATCGGAACTATTGACGGTTCTCGATCAACATGGAAAGCAGGCGACCATTTGAAGACTCGCATAGGGGATGCATGGACATACTAGATCCCCCGAGACCAACATCTATGAAAATCAGCTTCATTATGAAAACGTAACAACACATGTCGTGGGTCGAGCAGCCCAACCGTGACTGCCTCGCGCAAATCCAGCTTGAGAAGAAAAGTTCTAATGTCCTCCAGTTTTGGCCGCCCCTGGAGAACTTGCCCACTAGCGCAAATCTGTAAGGAGTCGCCAATTTGTCTAAGGCATCTTGTGAGAACAAAATAGCAGGTTCACCCTTGTGCATGGATGGAGTGGCCTGGACAGAAAATGACGGTGTGGAAGATTTATCCGAGAATAGATCAGCAAACGACTTCCGAAGAAAGATTGGAGAATGCGGAACTTGCCCCCCAGCAGGTGGTTGGAGGGCTGCCATGTCTGGGACCAAACAATGATGCTAGTTCTCAAAGGACATAATTTCCTTGAACTTAGTTTGAAAGAGGCAAATTATCAAACAACTGGTGGATTATAATAAACCTTTATTAATTTGCATTAGTTCTAAAGAAAGTATCCCCAAAATTTTTGTAGCAAATTAACTAAATCTACTGCTCCAAGCTCCAGATGTTCAAAATACAACAAATACCCAACCAAGAAGATTAATGAGATAAAAGGAAAAACTTTACCAAAATTTCTGCACCTAATCATTGGAAGCAGAGCTTTTCCAAGACCTGTGTAGAATGATCACTTGACGGTGAGAATGATTAGTGAAGCATTGTCTTTGAGGCGGCCTATGAATTCTCGCAGCTTTCTTAGCCGAACCAGTTTGGCCAGAGGGAGAGAGATTTGCTAATAATTTTAGCGCTGGTCGGCTTCTTCAGCCATATTGAGGAAAGTAGAGATAGAGTTCACTTCTCGTAGTGGATTGTTTTAGTTCTCACATTGGCTTGTGGAATTGGAAAGACTCCACCTATAATAGGTCAACTGATATTTCTAAAACAACCCAGAAGTTATTTGAATTATTAGATAAAGTTGTACAAAAGATTGGGAAGAAAATGTTGTCCAAGTCATCATGGATAATGCTTCTAACTATAAGGAAGTAGGAAAATAATTACTGGAGAAGAGAAAGAGGTCATTTTGCATAGATTTACTGCTAGAAAATTTTCAAAAACTTGATCCACTATATAAATTGACTACTGCCAAAGCCAGATTAGTGGTTTCACACATCTATTCATGGGGTACAGTTATCAATTGAATGAAACAGTTCACAAATAGCAAGCATTTAATAAGACTTGGAATTAGTTGATTCGCAGCTTCAAACTTCACAATGAGACGTCTAAGGTGCGTTTGATAAAATTGAAATTTGAAAATTGAAAGTTGAAATCTAAAGTATGAATCCATTAAATTATTGAATTATTTAATGTTTAATCAAATATATTTGAGTGTATATAAGTGAATAACTTATCACTTATTTTTTGGAGCAAGTTTTTTCCAGAAAATTTAGTGCCACTTAATTAATTCAGATGTTCAATTTTTTATTATCAAATGCATCTAAACATATTAAGATCTGAATCTATTAAGTTTAAGTGCTGAATTGGATTATCAAACAAGGCCTAAGTGAGCTAAAATGCCATCTTTTTACTTTTTTTTCTCATCTGATAAGTGGACAGAAAGTCTGTATGCCAAGAAAAAAAAGTGAAAAAATATGCAGCATTGTTTTTGTTAAATAGTTCACAAATGGTAAGGAGTAAATTAGACCTGGAGTTACTTGATTTGCAACTTCATACTTCACAATGAGACGTCTAAGTGAGCTAAAAGGCCATGTTTTTACTTTTTTCTCATCTAATAAGTGGATAGAAAGTTTGTATGCCAATAAAAAACAGAAAAAAATATGCAGCATTGTTTTTGATAATCAAGAATTCTGGCAAAATATGGAGTTGTATTTGAAAATAGCTTCTTTTCACATCAAAGTGTTAAGGATGGTAGATTCCGATGATAAACCTACAACAGTTTTCTCCACAAGACAATTCACCGCGCTAAAAAAAATCCAAGCAAAATGTTAACAACAATCAAAAGAGGTAGTGTTTTTACTATTTTTTAATACATCTTGTCAGTTTGATTATTTTATTAGATGTGATATGACGTGTATGCTGTTTTTTCTAATGTCAGCTTATTAATTCATTTTTTATGATAGATATGAGCAATTATTTGCTATTATTGACAAAAGATGGGAGCATCAACTAAGTTAGCCCTTACATGTAGAGGGTTATTATTTGAATTCCCAATTTCAATACAGTTTGGATTTTCAATCTGATGCAAATTTAAGTGTGGGCTCTATGATTGTATTGCTAAGATGGTTCTTGATTCCAATGAAAGCATAAAAATTGATTTGCAATTAGATGATTTTTGAGATGCACGGGGATTATTTGGTTTGGAGAATGCAGTCCAAACAAGAAATAAGAAGTCACCAAGTTAGTTTGTATTTACAGTTGAGTTCGAATACCAAAAATTTATTAATGCTCATGTGTAATTCAATGCTGATTTATATTTATATCAATTTGCTATCGTTTGTAGGAATATTGTGGAGATGAATGTCCAGAGTTAAAAAAATTTGCTGTTAGAGTTCTAAGTTTAACTTGTAACTCTTCTGGATATGAACGTAATTGGAGCACATTTGAGTTGGTGAGAACTTTTTTATATCATATGTTATTAAGATTATTAATTAGTTCCAAAGTATTTCAGCACTTGTCTCGAAATAAATTCCTTAATTTCCACCAAGTGCACTTTAAAAGAAGAAATCGTTTGGCCCAATAAAGAATGAATGATCTTGTATTTGTGATGTCCAAATGGAAACCAATGAATTGGACATTAATGAAGATGGTAAAGATGGCGAAGATTAATGACTCAAGTGATGATTTGAACTTAAATGAATATGAGACTATGGGCTACGAGGATGATGAGTATGATGAAGATGAAGATAAAGATGGCTATTGGCGGTGAACATGTGATGACCCAGAAAATTATTTTTTTCACCTCCTAACTATTTGCATTTTTATTTAAATTATATTTTTATAAAGTTTGCATTCATTTAGTGATTTACTAGTTAATTGTTAAACGAGTTTCTCTTACTTGTATATTTTAACTTTAAAGCGTTTAATTTCTTGAAAATTGTTGATTTTGCGACTTATTAGTGAAATTGACCAAGACCCTAGAAAATTATAAGTTGAAATATTAGTGAAGTTAAGAAAGATTTTGGGAGTTAAAAGAAGGTTAGAAAGGTTAAGGGTTGATAGTAAGAAAGCTTAAGTGGAAGGCACTATTAGATTCTATTCAAAGTTGACTTTGAGAAACCTTTCTTGTGGCTAGTATTTTAGATCAAAAAACAACCAAGAGGCCTTCATTTTTCTTCCTTGGCTAGCCGAAATTGAGAGAGGGAGAAAACTTCACTTTTCTTGAAAAATTTTGAAGATCCAAACTTTCTTCCACCAACCTACTTGCACCTTTGGAAAATTTTGGGAGAAAGAAGCTCCTAGGGGTTGATCTTGCCATCATCATGGGTAGATCTTGCTAGGGTTTGAAGCTTTGAAGAGGTAAGTGGTTAATCTACTTCATTCTTTTATATTTCAAGTGGATTTAGGTTAAATCTTGGAAGATCCATGGTGGATTTGAAATTTTATAGAAGTTTTGGTACTAGAAACTTGATAGTCTCTTGTATGTTTGAATCTAGAAAATTTTGGTCAAGAATTTGTGGATTGTTGTTTCTTGATATCCAAGGGTTAATGATTGATGAAACTCTTGAGGATTTGAGTTATATTTCTAGTTATTTGTTGGTGAAATGGAAGAAATCTCTATGTCTACCAAGTGTTTGATATTTTGTTAAGGGTTGTTTTTGTGCAAATTTTCATGGTTTTTCTTGCTAACAATCTTGGCTATATATTGTTTGATATGTTCATGGATTTGTTATGGAAAAATTGGGAAGATTTGATAGAGAAACGTTTGGAAAATTCTTATGGGAATATTCTGCCTTTACTGTCCAAAACAGGGGAAGATATTCCAGCCTTGATTTCCACTTTTTTCTTAATAATTTTGGGCAAGTTCTTGTTAATAAATTGGTTAACGCATCACTCTTTACTTGTATGTTGAATTTGAACCAAAACTATGAATTTCTTTCTTATTTTCTTGTTGGAAAGTTTGCAAAATAGACTGAAACTCAGAGAGCATTTTCAGTCAACTTGTCAGATTTTCTGGTATTAATTGAAAACAAATTAGAGTCTAAATTTTATACCGTTGGAAGCTCTTTGAGTCTAGTTTCAAATGCAACCAATGGCATTTGATTTTGATTTTTCTACATTGAATTATAGTCATTTTCCTGAGACTGCTCAAATGCTCTGATATGACGTGACAACTTTCTTGTGCCTCTATGATTGCTATTTTTTATCATAAAAATGCATGAACTGAATTTTGATATCTTCATTAGAAATGTACATCTATGTCTTGCTTCGAAACGCCATAAAATTCATCTCAATCTGATAAGTGCACCTCCAGTTATGATCAAAATGGTGAGAGGTGTCAAAGCTGTCACTTTGATTCTTCTCCTTTGCACTCTTTCCTACACTTTTCTTGGTTCAATTTAACATTTTTCACTCCATATTATACCTGAACCATTGACCTAACATGTACATGGATTTTTCCTTTGAATTGAGATTGAAAACATGTGTTTTGGAAGGATTTTTGCTCGAAAGGTTCTAATGCAAACTCGATTCTCCAAGGACCACTGGAGAAGAAATCGAATCGATCAGGCAGTAGAAGGATCTATCTTGATCAGGTTATGGATAAATTGGATGGATTCTAGACAATCAAAGACCGCTCGAGATTGTTTAGAATGGTAGAATGGCGCCACAATTGAACATGGTCTTGAATTGATAAGCTGAAACTTGAACAAAGGAGATTCGACTCACTTTGTATCAAGGGACGCTCCCAAAGGAACAAGAAAGAGAAAACTCTCAATTTTTATTCATCATTGCCTTCCCCTTGAAAATATCATAAGCTTGGCTATTTATAGCCTTACAAGACTCAAAACCCTAATTTAAATTGGAAACAATACAAGTTTTCTTATTTGACTTGACTTCTAAACTTGACACAACTTTCTAAAAAATTTGGAAGCAATTAACTACTTTCTTAAAACTCTAATTCAACTAGAATAGGAAACTAACTCAAATAGGCTTAACTATGGTCAACATGACCTTAGCCTTTATTCCTCTTATTAAGGACTCAAAAATAACTCAAGACTAACTCTAATTAACTAACAATATTTGCTAAAAATTTAATTAAATAAATAACAAGAAATAAGCATGACATTTCTTCAATGATTATTGAGCCCGATTGCACCACCAACTATCAAACAAATTTTCTTGAACTTGAAAGGGATCCAAATCTTCATGTTCTCATCAGGTTCTATTGGAATTTGATCTTGGTAAATAATGATTTTGGATCCAAATTTTGAAGTTAAAAAGGGGAAAAAGTGAGATTTCCTCCAAAAGTTTAGTGGTTGACAATTTTATGAATTGATTTGACTTTGGATCTTTGTTGTAATGGAGTTTTGGCCGGTTTAGTTCAAGAAACCTTATTAAACTATGATCCTTGTTTATAAAATGATTTTGGGACAAAAGTTACGAATGTAAGTATTTGAAAAATGGACTTTTGCTATGAATTGCTTGCTAGAAAACTTGTGGGAGTGGAAAGCCATGTTCAAACTAAACGAAATGCTTTTGTCCGATTGGAAAGTTGAATTCTTTTACTTGAATTGTCAATTTGAAATCTTGAGTAAATTGAAGTGTCTAGGACACTAAAGTCGACTCATTTGAAAGCAAAGTTTTCGTGCTTAAGTGAATTGATTTGGTGAACATTAAAGGTTCACTTATATGTTGCATTTATAGTGCAAACTAAATGTGCA